GCCCCGCCCCCAGGCTCACACTTGACGTCCAGGCTGGCGTAGCCCTCGAACTGCAGAGAGGTGTTGGGGAAGGAGGCCTGGCAGCCCAGCCGGTGGCCGTTGGCCTCCCTAGTGGGCACGAAGTGTAGCAGCGACACCTGCACCCACGTGCCCTCGTCCTCGCGCAGCCGACCCAGCACGGTGGGCTCCCCCAGCCCTTCGTGGCCCAGCCAGCTCAGCTCCGGGCGCAGCTCTGGGCAGTTGTCAGGCACCATGCAGCTGACCTCGACTTCCGTGCCTGCCACCACCTCCGGGGGGACCACGATGTTGGGGGTGTCTAGATGAGACAGGGGTGGCGGGGGCCGGGGGAGGAGGGAGGGCTGAGGAAGCAGCATCGGGCCACGGGCCACCTCTACCTTGTCCTACTTCATTCTCGGTACCTGGTTGCCTCCCCATCCTTGGAGACAGAATTCCCTACGACCCTCTCTCCTCCCGGTTACCTGTCACCCAGAGGTCCTCCACAATCAACCACAGGTGTGCAATAATGAAAGTAATGCTATAATGCCCTGAGTACATGACACCAGTTTGACTTGCCAGTCCTCCCAGCCATGCTAGTTAAGCGGGTAATATTAGTTTGCTCATTTTTGAGGTGAGGAATTCTACTGAGACCACAGCTAGTGTGGAGTAAAACTGAACTTCAAACCCTGTCACTCTGGCTTCATAATCTGTGCTCTGGCTATGACTTTATATCCCCTAAGAAACTTCTCTCTGGGTGGCTCAGTCCGTTAAGCATCTGACTTCAGCTCAGGTCACGATCTCACAGTTCGTGGGTTCCAGCCCTGCGTCGGGCTCTGTGTTGACAGCTCAGAGCCTGGAGCCTGCTTGGGATTCTGTCTCCCTCTCTCTGACCCTCTCCCACTCACACTCGGTCTCTCTCTCAAAAATAAACAATAAACATTTAAAAAAAAAAAATGCTTCTCTCCTTTCCCGTGTTTTCTTTGGTTTATTTTCCGTGTGTGTGTCCGTGCCTGGCTGTGCCAGTGGGGTCTCTTTCTGCATCACGGCTGTGATCTGGCTCATTTAGCTCCGTGCTGATGGGAAATCCGAATCTAAGGGCTCCACGCTACAGGGCCTCTCAGACATTAGGCAGCGTGCCCTACTCTGATTGCCAAATCTGGCCCAGAACTGCATTTTATTTGGCCTAAATTTAGGATTAAAAAAAAAAAAATCTGAATCAGCAGCCAATGTTTAGGAATTGGGAGATTACACGGAAAAAACAGACAGTTCTGGTTTCTCTTAAAAATTCAGATCGTCTGGGAGCAGTATCTGTGCATTCTCCCGGATCACCAGCTACCCAGAGCAGGGTCCCCTGTGCCGGGCGCTGCTCTGAGCACTGGTAACTCTTCACTCGTTGAGCTCTAAGTGCTGTTCCCATCCCCGACTTACAGAAGAGGAAAGCACAGCCCAGAGAAGTTAAGTGATTTGCCCCCAGTCACCCAGCTGACACAGGGATCCATCCAGAGGCCTCACCCCGAACCCCTGGGCCCCGCTGCTTTTCTCCGAGTTGTTTCTAGAAGAGGAAGAGCGCTCATATTCCTCTGAGGGCAATAAGACTATCCGGGGCCTTAGTCTGCTGTCGTCCGCCTGGTCCGTGTGGGCGTTGGGGTTTGCACCCCTCCCCCCAGCCAGACCGAGAAGTCCCTGGACCTGCCAGCCCGGACCTCCCTGGAGAGGTCCCGGGGAAGACTTTGTGCACCGCCCCAGCCCGCAGCACCCGCGCACCCTCTGGGGACTCACTGATGATGTCCAGAACACTGTGCTCAGAGAAGGTGTACTGGTTGTAGCCCCCGAGGTCCCCGCGGAAGTAGTACTTGCCGCCCAGCTCCGGGCTGAGGCTGCTGAGCAGCAGGGTGCAGTTGCGCATGCCCAGGTCCCCCAGGAGGCGGCTGCGGCCCTGGAAGCTCTCGTGCACGACTTGGGTTCGAGACTTGAAGACCACGGGGGGGTAGTTTTTCGGGTAGGGGCTGTTGAAGTACCAGACGCCATGCACGACCGCCGGCCGCAGCTCGTCGGGGAAGTCGAAGCGGCAGGGGATGGAGACGCACGTGCCCTCGAAGGCAGAGATGGACGAGGGCATCCAGGCACCCCAGTGACCCCCTCGGGAGGCTGCAGGCAAGCGGGACCACTGAGGCGGAGGGACACGTCCTCCCTGACCCCCCCCCCCCCCCCCCCCCCCCCC